GGTGGCGGTTCAGGAGCCTGGGCGCCGCACCGCGCGGGCTGCAGCCTCCCCGGCCGCACGAGCGCCTTAACTGTTGTTTTCCCTCGGGGCTCTCGAATGGGCGCCGTGGGCACCGACTCCCGAGGCCTAGCTGCTGCGCTTGGCCGGGGTGGGGGGAGGGGGCCGCCGGGGAGAGGGAGTTGGTGCCGACCCCAGAGCCTTTTCGAGGTACCGGGAACTGCCGCTCTCCCCCCCGGGGTGGGTCCCCAGCGTGTTGTCAGAGCCCCCCCCCCGCCCTGGTCCGCCCGCCGGTGGGAGGGGCGCGCGGGAACCCACACTTCCTCGTTACTTCTGGCTACAGGTTTGTTTTTTTTTTTTTTTCTCCTTTCTCATTTCTTTTTCTGTCGTTTCACTGGCACAACCCGGCGCTCACTTTCTCCGAAAGTCGCCTCCGAGGCCCTCCCCCCATCCCCCCGCCGCCTCCAGCTTGATGTGGGCGCGGTGGGTGGCGGTTCCGTCCACCGCAGGACAAGTGTCTCTTTCCCCCCCGTGAGCCGAGTACTACTTGTAGGCCTCGAGGCTGCTGTGAAGTTGGCTGCAGGTCTTTCGAGTTTATTGAAGACCCGACCGCACATCTTGTGTTTTTTGCAGTCCCACCTGCTCCGCCAAAGCCACTCTCCCACCTGTGCGCACGGATGAGGAATGAGCTCAGTGGGTTTCAAGAAAGTGCGGTTGTGTTTTAGACGTTCTGAGAAGTAAACTTTTCTCCGAAAGGCAGCTAGTCACAAATGGTTATCTTCCCCTACCTCCTCACTCAGACATCGAACCTAGGATCTCCTGTGCATGCTATAGGCAATCCCTGCACTAGTGTCACCCTCCTTAGACTTCTGTAAGAAGAAAAAAAAGTATTTTGTTCTTGAAAACAGTACTTACATCTTCCTACTTGTATCTCTACAATTGCATCTTCGAAGACTTCATGGGAGTTTTGTGGGTTTTTTTTTTTTTTTTTTTGAGTCGGTCATGGGGCTTGAACTCAGGGTCTGGGCACTGTCCCTGAGCTCTTTTGCTCAAGGCTAGCACTCTGCCACTTTGAGCCACAGCTCTGGTGGTTAATCAGAGAGAATAGTCTCAGGGGCTTTCTTGTTGAGACTGGCTTCGAACCATTACCCCCAGACCTCATCCTCATGAGTAGCTAGGATTACAGGCATGAGCCACCAGCACCCAGCGTTTAAAAAAAAAATTAACAAACTTGAGCTTTTCTTACAAGATACTCCCTTTGAAAAGGAATAGGGACACATGGCAGTTAAAAAAATGGAAAATGGAAGTGAGATATTGAGAAGTGGGTCAAACAGGTTAAGAACAAATTTATTTTTGCAGGGGTAGTGATCTTTGGTGTAAAGTGGAATTTCTACTCTTTCAAAGATGGGTATTATAGTATTTAGAAGTTAATAAGATGGATGTATGGTAACAGCCCTGGGAGAAGGCACTTCTCTGGAGGTTGAGGCTACCAACCTAGGGCAAAGTTACCTAGAGCTTATCTCAAGAACAGTACAAACAAAAAGGCTGTGGGCCTGTCTCAAGTGTTGGAGCACTCAGTGTGTGCGAGGAGACTCTAGATTCCCAGTTAAGTCCCCCCCCCAAAAAAAATATGGTTGTGTAGTAACAGTTTAAATAATGATACTTTAGGAAACTACAAATTGTTACATTGTCTGAGAACAAAATGGATTGATACCTGGACTTTTAGGTGGCTAATGGTAGCATGTTGCTAAACTAAGGAGATGAGGGGGTGTTCTGGCACTTGCTTGGTCCCCTTTCTACAAAAAGACCCAAAGTTTGAGTCTTAACTCTTTTGGTAGAAAAACTTGACAAGTTTAGAAACAAGGCACAAAAACCTGTATTTCCTTACTGAAATTATAACCAGAAGTGGTTTTTTTTTTTTGCGTGTGTGTGTGTGTGTGTGTGTACACGTACACGTACACGTACATGTACATGTGTACATACATGCGTGCGTGTGCGCGCTAGTACCAGGGCTTCAACTTGGGCCTTGCATTCTTGCTCAGTGTTCTTGTTGATGGCTGAGTCAACCCTCCAGTTAAGCATTTTATTTGCGGGTTAATTGTTTAACAGACCTTAATGCCTAGGCTGACTTTGAACTTCCACTCCTCCGAGTCAACTTCCACTCCTCCGAGTCTCAGCCTCCTGAGTAGGGAATTAAGCCTTTTTTGTTTTTTGGTTGTGGGTCTTGAACTCTGGGTCTGGGTGCTGTCCCTTAGCTCTTCAGCTCAAGGGGAGTGCTCTACCACTTGAGCCACAGCGCCATTTCCAGTTTTCTGGAAGGTAATTGGAAATAAGAGTCTCATAGACTTTGCTGCCCCAACTGGTTTGGAACCACGATCCTCAGATCTCAGCCTCCTGAGTAGCTAGGATTATAGGCTTGCGCCACCAGCACCCAGCTTTTTTTTTTTAAAAACTTGCTGTGTAGTATGTGCTGTCCTCTAATGTTCAGTTCTGCCTCAGCTTTTCAAGTTCTGGTAACCATGCCATGCCAGACTTGAAGCACTGTCACTGTGTGTGTGACAGAGAGAGAGAGACAAAATGACCCTTTAAACTTCTTGCTAGAATGACATCCCAACAAGACTTATTTTAAGATAAAGAAAACCCAGCAATATCCTTTCTGTGTATATACATTTTTTAAATAAAATTTTTGCCAGTCCTGGGATTTGAACTCAGCCTGGACACTGACCCTGAGCTTCTTGTGCTCAAGTTTAGTGTACTACCACTTGAGTCACATAGTGCCACTTCTGGCCTTTTCTGTTTATTTTGTCAGTCATGGGGCTTGAACTCTAGGCCTGGGTGCTGTCCCTGAGCTCTTCAGCTCAAGGCTACTAGCACTCGACCACTTGAGCCATAGTGCCACTTCTGGCTTTTTCTGTGTATGTGGTACTGAGGAATTGAACCCAGGACTTCATGCATGCTAGGCAAGCACTTTACCATTAAGCCACCTTCCCAGCCCTGTACATAATTTTTTTTTTTTTGGGGTCCGGTCGTGGGGCCTGAACTCTGGGCTTGGGCGCTGTCCCTCAGCTCTTCAGCTCAAGGCTAGTGCTCTACGACTTGAGCCACAGCACCACTTCCGGCTTTTTTCTTATATGGTGCTGAGGAATCGAACCCAGGGCCTCATCCATGCAAGACAAGCACTCTGCCACTGATCCACCTTCCCAGCCCTGTACATAATTTTTTTTTTTTTGGGGTCCGGTCGTGGGGCCTGAACTCTGGGCTTGGGCGCTGTCCCTCAGCTCTTCAGCTCAAGGCTAGTGCTCTACGACTTGAGCCACAGCACCACTTCCGGCTTTTTTCTTATATGGTGCTGAGGAATCGAACGCAGAGCCTCATGCATGCAAGGCAAGCACTCTACCACTGAACCACACCTTCCCAACCCCAAAAATTTTTTTCTTAACTTTTAAATTTCTATCACCAGTGGCATGAAAACATTCACCTTTTCAAAAATCATTTCAGATTATCTGTTACATACTGAGTACCTTGCATATATATGGCTGAATTAATACATGTAATAGTTAATACATAAACTCTCTGGTAAGTTGTAGCCACTTTACATAAGTCGTATACCATTTCTAATTACCTAGTGGATGTTTTTTTTTTTGTGCCAATCCTGGGGCTTGAACTGGGCCTGGGTGCTGTCCCTGAGCTTCCCCCCCCCCGCCCCCCCAAAGCTAGTGCTTTAAGAGCCACAGGCTCTACTTCTGGCTTTTTGATGGCCAATTGGAGATCTCATTCATGGACTTGTCCTGTCTGAGCTGGCTTCAAATGATGATCCTAGGATTATAGGCATGAGCCATTGGCATTTAGCCTATCTGATGGATTTTATTTATTGTTTTGTTCCTGAAGTTTGAACCTAGAATTCATTTATGCTAAGCATGCCTTCTACCCGCTAAGCTTCTTCTATAGTCCCTGACTGGTAGATTTGAGTTATTGTAGCTTACATGAATTTGTGGAAAGCCAATCTAAGGTTTACACTTGTAGGGTCTACCCTTATTGAAGGTAGACACAAAAACTATTTTTTCAGGGCTGGGAAGGTGGCTCAGTGGTAGAGTGCTTGCCTTGCATGCATGAGGCCCTGGGTTCGATTCCTCAGCACCACATAAGCAAAAAGAAAAAAAGCTGGAAGTGGCTCTGTGGCTCAAGTGGTAGAGCGCTAGCCTTGAGCTGAAGAGCTGAGGGACAGTGCCCAGGCCCAGAGTTCAGGCCCCATGACCAGACCCAAAAACAAACAAAAATATTTTTTCAACAAAGGCATAGGCATTGTTGTCATTTGGGCAGAACAATTATCTTTGTTAAGATGTGTATGTTTGCTGGGTGGGTGCTGGTGGCTCATGCCTGTAATCCTAGCTACTGGGGACTGAGATCTGAGGATCATGGTTCAAAGCCAGCCCAGGTAGGGAAAGTTTGTGAGACTCTGATCTCCAGTTAACCACCAGAAAACTGGAAGTGGTGCTGTGGCTCAAGTGGTAGAGCACTAGCCTTGAGCTGAAGAGCTGAGGGATAGAGAGTCCAGGCCCAGAGTTCAAGCCCCACGACCTACCCCCCCCCCCAAAAAAAAAATGTGTATGTGTTCATGTTCCTTCATCTCTGGCTTGATTTACTTGCTCTTGGCTGGCTGGCTGGCACTCTACTACTTGAGCCATGTCTCTAGC